GAGCGTTCTATTACTGCCTTAAAATAGCATCAACATACCTGGTTTTCATTCCAGCTTAAAGGAACCCAAACTTCAAGTTCTAGAGAATGCAACCTGAGTTGTCTTGTGCACCTGTAGTTTTATTCCAATTAGTGGACTTAAATTTAAGAGAAAAAGCTTTGCTCTTCTTTGCATTAGAATATTGGTGAATAGAATAAATTTACCTTTCTGTGTTCTATTATAGAGAAAATTGTTAGTGATATTTTATGCTCTTCTTAATTGATGCTTAATGATTAATGGGTTAGATGCTCATCTCAGTTGTACTTCTATTGGGCGTCCTTTGCCATTTTCTGCATAGCATCTCTTTCATGATATGTGGACAGAGAAACTTGGTGATTAATATCAGTGGAGAGAATAGATAAGTTTCTCAGGAACAGAACCCAGTCTGACTGGTAAGTTAATATCTCTGTAATAAATAGGGATTGAAATACAGTGGACCCTTGACTTATGAACTTGATTGGTTCCCGAGGGCTGGTTGTAACTCAAGTTGGTTGTAAGTCAATATAGCTGAGATCTGGATGTTTACCCAGGTACATGTTATAGATAACAAGAGGCAGATGAGTCTTCCATTAACCTAATTAACCAAAGTTGTTTGTATGTCAGGCCAGTTGTAACTTAGGGTCCACTATAGAAGTATGACCTTCATGTTTTGAGGGAAGAAATGGAAAATAGTAGCTAATCTGGTGTGTGGTATAGATTGAAATAGTTAGGAGTAGAAGATAATTGATGAAAAGTTTTATGGTTTAGGATTCAATAGGTTCATTTGATTTGTGTGATAATTAGGAGCAACTATGAACTTTTAGAAGGGGAAAATAAAGCAAATCAGGAAAAAAATGAAATGTCAGATGCATTCAGAGAGGAGGAAGATAAGAGAAAGAGAGGCTAGCAAGGAGGCTATCGTATGTGTGCTGTGCTGAATTATTACTATGAATATGGAAATAAAATATATCTCCAACAAACTGAGGATGAAGAATTATGGCAAATTAATTCTTCAGGCTTCTACTGGAGCTTCTCTAGTGTGAGATGTTTTTTATATTTGTCTGTGAATCTCAAGGGCTTACCTTAGAGTTGCACATTGTATTAAAAAGTGCATGTCTGTTGAATGAATTAATGGGTTTCCTTAAATATCTGGACCTTAAGGTCACCAGATAGGCAGGACAGCACATACCCAAGATAGTTACTAGGATGTTATAATCCAGTAAGAGTGGTTTTGATAGGCTGTGGGGCTCCCAGGCAGGTTAGGTTCATCTCAGGTGAACTTATACTTATCTCACCTGGAGCCTTAAATGTTTCTGCACAGACAGTTGATCAAGACCTCTTCCTCGCACTACAGATTTTAGATCAATGTAGGACCTGTTGATGTGCTCCTGGGGATGGACAAGGGCAGCCCAAACTTAATTCTCTTTATCCTGGATCTAAACTTTTCTTGCACCAGGAGAATTCTACAGAATAGAGTCCTTGGACTGCCTTCTAAATCTCTTGTGGGTACTTAACTAATGTTCATTTTTTTCTGAGAGGAGTTTTCTGCAATCAAAGGACTTATCTTGTGAAATTTCTAGTATTTGGACTTTTATCTTTGGGAAAATGATGTAAAATGTTCTTAGAAGTATTAGAGATTCAGTAACTTAAACTGTAAATAACATTTAAAGATCTAGACTCTCTCTGGCACATCACACTGCACATTGTCTTTGTCTCCAGGTGCGACTACAAATTGAGTACCTGGAACTAATGCCTTAATTGTTCCTTAATTGACATAAATTAGATGCTAAATAAAAGCTGGTTGAATGATTGACTCAATACTGCTTTCCCCTCCCTAGCAGCTGGCTAAGCTAGCAATATTTGAGAGACAGCTGGATAATTGTAGGCCATGTAGAAGTCCATGTTCCTGTTAAAAGATGCTGAAGATTGGAGATTGCGTGGACAGGTCATTTCTCTAGGGAGCTCTTTTCCTAAATTGACTCCTAAAAATCATACTGTGCTGGAAATCTACTCACCTAATGTCAGATTTTTAGAAAAGGGAAGAAAATACATTTAGAGAGAAAGAAAATTGAAGAACTCTGTTCATAAAATACAGTACTGTTTGACCAAAAACTCAGTCCTTCATATAAAACAATTTCTGAAATATTTTCACTTGGTGATGGAATCTTATCAAAGACTTTAGCAAAATGGTTCATTCCTTAGAGAGTATATAACAAGAAAAAGTGCCTGATAATGACTGCTTGTGAAAGTCTTTTGAATTAGAATATTTAAGTTTTAGACTTATAATAATTTCTAGATTTTAGTGTGAAATAAATACACTAGCAAACTCTCAGCCATTCATAGATCTTTCTCAAAGCTTCAGAGGCCCAGTGTGGACTTATAGAGCTTTATGGGACATGTCCAAAAATGCCGATGTGTGATTTTTATTACCATTTAATGGAGCTATCTGTGTACAAGACATTTGATTCTTTTCACACAGAAAATTCTTCTTGCTTTGATGCAAATTCTCCCAAAGCCTTTTCAAGTTTGTCTCTCTCATATTACAAATATTGATTGGGAGGGTTAGAAGTCCAAAGTCTGCAAACAGTATTGAGAAGAATGAAGGGATATGTCTGAAATGGGACTCTGTGAAGACATAACTGTTGCCAAAGAGACTGCCATTCTAACCAAACAACCTGTGGCAATTTAATCCTGAACTTCCGGAGCTGTTGCCATGGGTTTTAGACAAAGATGACAGAGATGCATTCCAATTATATCCTTCAGAATGACAGAAAGCTGAAAAATAGGAAATAGGGTAGTAAAATCACAGGTCACTCAGAAGAGATGTGACAGATACAAGTGAAGGAGAAATGAGAATGTAAGTCCATGTTTGCCTAAAAATCACTTTTGGACTTAGAATGCAATGTACATTCTGCAAATTCTCCAGACATTCCACAGCAGTTTTATCCATTATCCAGTTCATCATTCAAAGCCAGTTGTCTCTTGTGTAATGGAAAATTTCTAAACCTTTAAGCTTAAAGATTTCATGAATTAAGAGAACTTGAGGTAAAGAAAAAACTTTTTAAACTGTGAAGAATAATACATTTCCCTTCAACTCCAGTGATATTACAAGTTCAGCAATGACATTTTTTCATTAATGCTAGGATCAAATGCAGTATTCAGTTTTTCCAGTTGAAGGTATTATTGTAAACTTTGGGCAGTATCTGATAAGCAGTAGTATTTGTTCAGGATCAGCAGAAAGTTTGCTGTTGTGTTATTAGGCTCTCATGGAGATATTAGCCACTGTTCAATGACAGAAACCACTAGGTAGAGATCAAGAGGTTAACAGTAAACTTGAGAATGACATGAGGAGATGCAACTTGAATGTCAGACAATTTCATGTTTCTTCAGTCTCTGCAATTGAGCAGAAACAGAGTATTTTTAGTCCCGAAGTGATATTGGATAATTTATTTAATCTTTAAAACTTAAAAAAAATAAGAATCTTTAGAACTCTAAGGCTCAGTTTCTTTATCTAAAAAATGGAATGCTAAAACTCACCTTTCATGGTAGTGATTCAAAATTAGATAATGTATATCAAGCAATTGGCTCAACATCTGGCTTATATCACAAAGTAAATGAAGTGGATGCTGTTTGTATAGATAGTCCTGTTACATGAACTTCTGTCATACACACTGCAACAAAGTGTACAGCTATTGCTACAGAGGAGCCCAACGAACATGGAAAATTTTAAAGATTTAAAACAATGTATCTACAAAAGCATAAAAACAAGCATTTTAGCTGTAAAATTAGATGTGTTTGAATGAGTAAAAATGCAGCAATTTAATAAATGGTATTTCAAGGATTACTGTCAGTATTGTGAGAGGAAAAATGTAGATGTCCTGAGCCTACTGTCATAGTCCTGAATTTTTCCTTGCAGATATTTATTTTGTGATCCTTTAAAAACAACATAACATTTCTGTTAACGTATTGAATATAGCTGCCACAGGTCAATAAAACTCAATTTTGTCATTTGTTCTTTGTGTAAAAATTCTAAAATTCTATCTGGATTCTTTGTTTGACTTTACATATTCAGATTTCATTTTCTTTATTCAGCAAGCACTAGTTTGATTTTATAATGTAAATAAGTAGCAGAAGTTGATTTACTTTGGTAGGAGATTTTTGTATAAATATTTACAAATATCAACCTGAGCTTTTATAAAATGACTATGATAAAGGAAAAAAGAAAAAAGTGAGTTTTTCTTTGTATGGTTACTTTTTCTAAAAAAAAATCTTAGTGGAGTACGAGTTTTTAATAATTTTTTGCCTTGCTTGAATGTTTATATGTTGTGGCAATTTTTTTCATTCAAAAACCTGAAAATTTGACACCCTATCCTAAATATATACACACACATCCATAAGTGTTTATGTATGTGTATATAATAAAGCATTTAATTTTATTGAGCATTGATGGTTAAAGCAAGATGAGACCTGAACAATTTCAAATAAAAATAAATGTGAAGCTTACTTATTTGGAATTTATATGAAGAAGCACATCAATTTGTGATTTATATTTTCAAGTTTACTTTTTAGTTATTAGAATTTTGGAAAAACTAGTTATGATCAAAATCTTAACTGTTATTTCTTGATCAATCACAAAGAGCAAAAGTTCCAATAACTTTATTTTTTTCTCCTTAATGCATTTTAATTCTTCTATCTTTATGTCCTTAAGAGCTTTAGAAAGAATGTTAGTGGAGCAGTAGTCTGCCAGTGCACTAATTTTTCCACCTGCAAATCTGGTGCATGAATTATTACTTTTACACATGGCACTGCTACATCTCACTTAAACATCAGAAAGAAGTAGCTTCTCTCATGCAGAAGCTCACCCGAGAAGGTGGCATGTCTAGTGTCATTAGTTCATCTCATAATATAGGTCACAATGCAGAGTACTGATATTCAATCAGAACTATCAAAATTGTGTAGGCATAGTGTGAAGAGGGTCTTACCTTAAAAGAGATTTCATACTGTTCTCCTCCCCAGATTTCTAAACCTGGATCGTATCCACCCAATTCCCAAAACCACTTTCGATCCACAGCAAAGAGACCACCAGCCATAACAGGGGACCTAGAAAGTGAGCATAACAACCTTTAAGGGACTATGAAGATCAAGGGTAATGATGTTTTGCTTGTAAAAAACAAAAAGAGAGAGAAAGAGTTAAAAATAGCATATTATAGTGATACATGCATAGCTATGTTTGTAGCAGCACATTTGAAAATAAATCAATCTTGATAGTGGACTGTATGTCCATCAATAGATGAATGGATAGAGAAAATGTGGTATTTATATACAATGGAGTACTGCTGTGCCATATAGAAGGAAAAACTTGGTCATTTGTAGGAAAATGGATGCACTTTGAGACCATGATGTTAAGTGAAATAAATCAGACACACAAGCTTCAATGTCACATGGTTTCTCTTACATAAGAAATACAAAGCATAAATAAATTAAATAGCAAAATAAAAGATAGATAGTAGGAAACAGGGAGATAGAGTTTTGTAAAAGGGAAGGGGACCAAGACATGGATAGCAGGGGAGGGAGAGGTGGGAAAGGGAATAAAAAAGAATTAAGATGCAGTATATACATGTACCAACTCCCCATAATGAATGCAATCATTATGTAATGGAAATAAGTACTAATAAAAATAAAAATTAAAAAAGAAAAGATCAAGATATGCTTTAATGGGTAGCTGCATGAAACTTTCCAACATAGCTTTCTATAAGTGGATATAAGATCTTTATTGGACCATTTTCCTGGATTGGGCATAGAGGAAGTATATTTTGAATATTGAGTTTTGCAGTTCAGGTTCAGCTTTGCAACAAATGTTCAGCAGAAATAAATTTCTCCATCTATTTAGCCTTAAAGCAAAACATACAAATATAAATGATGGATACACTGAGAAAATTCATTTGATTTTGTTAGAGACCTTACACTATCAGACAGATAAAGGTGTTGTTGAAAATGTTGTAGATAGTGTTTGATTTTAATCTCTTAGGGTGCATCCTTGAAGCATATACTATGTGCAGGTCATGCCTAATTTGTAGACTATGAAATGGTCAATTAGAATAAAATAACCAACCAGAATGTAATATACATTTAAAACATTGTCTTTTCACATTGTATTATTCTGCATTCTCTCTCTTTTCTTAGAAAGGAAACATTAATTAACATTCATTTTGGATAAATAATTCTCATGTATTCAACAATGCTAGTATGTATTGTGGCCATATTGGTATATAATAAAATACAATCATTTGATTGGCTTTGCCCTAAAATAATTTTGAAGTTTGAAGGTATTTCTTGTGTGTTTTTTGAGCTCATTATATGCATGAAGGCTAAAATATTTAGCTAATTCCTTGCAACAACCCTATGGCTATTATCCCTATGTATGGTTTGAAGAAATAGGGAGAAAAATTAATAATATCGTTCCAGTTTAGAACGAAAGTGTGGTGGATCTGGGGCTAGACACTGGTTCTTTATTTCAAATATTTTATTTTCTACATTTTAACACTGTTTTAATGTTTGTACATGATACCAAAGTACAAACACACATGGATACAAAACAATTAGGAAATACCTTGATATAGACCAAGGAATACACAAAAATACACATCGTCAATATAGTTAATGTTCCAGTTTTGACAATTTCTTGAAACAAAGGATATTTACAAATAATAATGTGAAGCTTTCAATGTTGATATACAGTATTTAAAAATGTGTATAAACATACTGGGCACACCAATTTATACTAACAAGATTTACACTTGGTAATGTTTGATGAGACACTGGAGCAATATAAACTTGAATTTAAATATAACATATATTTCAGGGACTTTGTATATTAAAGTCATACTTCATCTAATTACTTCAGTTTGGGAATTTTTTTTTTTTTTGTATCAAGGATTGAACTCAGGACCTTGCGCTTATGAGGCAGGTATGGTGCCACTGAGCTAAATCCCTGGCCCAGTTTAGGAATATTTTAAAGGTACATGTTTTATGTAGTTGGAAAGATTAAAAGACTGGAAGAAGGCCTTATTTTTTCCCCCTAGGCAGGCAAGCAGGATTCAGACATGTAATGTTTTTGTTAGAAATAAAAATTCTAGAATCAGATGTACATTTCTTTATCCCTCTGTCCAGCAGGCTAATCTTTTTTCCACTTTTCACACACTACATTTCAGAGTAGAATTACAGCAGAAACAGGAACAAACAAGGACTGTAACACTTATTGTGTGCAATTCCTCAGTGAACACATTCCCACTCCTGCAGGACTGGGTTACACATCATCAGAAATTCTCAATCCTAATCAATCTGAACCCAAAAGAGAAGGATTGTCAGTTACATAAATGCATCAATACATCCTCAGTTGATTGTCCAAAACGTGAGACCAAAGTGCATGAAAATTTACATTCATAGAGTTATCACAAATATGGTGATACAGGTATTGGGCAAGGAAAGTCTAAAAGTGATTTTTTTTTTTACTGTAGAGAATTTGTTAGAAACACAATAATCTTGTTTTTTAAATTAAAAAATAAATCACGTATTGCATTTTAGGTTAGACTCATAATAAGAGACATTCATATGGATCATCTCATCTTTCTCTTTATTGAGTTTCAAGCAAGCCTCAAATGAATTAGTGTCTCCTATCTTGATGGATGTAAATGACTGGTAAGAAACAACCTTTTTATTTATGTGGTTACTCATTTGTACATGAATTTAAAAAAGAGCTTGGTTGATGTATGATGGACATACAGTGGGTTGCTCCTATTTTCATTGTAGCATTTGATTCACATGTACTTCTGTGTGACCATGAACCCATCTGCTCAGTCGCCTATTTTGTGTTGACATTAACATAGCCACTCCAGTACTCTTTTTAAAAAATTAATTTTATTGGTACATTTTAGGTATACAATATAATGACATTCATCATTGGAAATTTG